ATTTACTACAAAATGATAACGTTTTTGCTTTGGTTTTACATTAACAAATCGCTGTCTTTGGATAAAAGATTGTGTAAGGGTAAAATCTCAGCAGAGGAGCCAGGTGGCTCATGAGGCCGGCGCTTATCTCCGGTTTCTGTGGCATGAAGAGACCAGGAGTATTTCTACTCCCCCCTAGATGGGATGTTAGTTCATCGCAGGGTTACCCCAAAGTATTAAATTCGCAGTACCCATTTATACACCTGGGGTAGAGAGAGACAATGTGAGAGTAAAGTGTCTTGCACAAGAATACAACACAGTGTTCCCGGCAGGGCTCGAACCAGGACCGCTCGAGCCGTAGTCGAACTCACTAACCATGGAGCCACCGCGCCTCCCATTTGAATAGAAGGAGCCATGCAATATTCTAACCATCAATTTTAGCTAATCAGAAGTAAAGCCAAAATCAAAGATAACAAGCTGCACAGAGTTTTCCCGCGTTTCCCTCGCCTGACGCGAACTGCTTGTTTAGCTTTGAGTTTTGATTGGTTCATCATGATATCTGATTCTGCTGTGATTGGCCAGATGAGATTATTCTGAGTCATTTAGCACTTCAGGAGAGTTTTACTGGCTTAACGTGCGAAAAGGAAAACTAGAGAATTTGTATGGCGGTTTAATCCAAATAAAACTCTTTGCGGCAGACGCAGGCCGTCTGTAAGCCGCAGTGAAGCTAGTAGAATTCACATAAAATAATGCAACAACAGAAGTCTATCTTAAAGCAGTTTTACTTTCCAATACCAAAAGTCTGCCCGGTCCTCTACGCGCACGGTTTCCGTAAGTTATTTGTAGAGTAATTAACAACCTAGCTGAAATTGGAACAAGCCAAAGAGGCGCTATGCTTTTCTTATCAAACGCAGAATCTCAGGATATAAAGGAAACGAACACAATGTCATTATTAGTTTTATTTCTAAAAATGAATCAAATTAAAAAAAATGTCATTTTAAAACTATCTAGCGATCGTATCCTTTATGTTCGACTACTGCAAATGGAAACAGTTAGACAACGAGCAGTGACAAGTAATCACATCGCAGAACGGTAACAAAGCATAGTCAGTGTCCGGTTTAACAGCATTTCAACCTGATCAATTCTTCCTTGAACGTTCTGCAATGCTTTTGGCTGTGCTGTCTAAATGGAGCCTGTTATAGTTGTCGCACATTTATCCGCTATTGTTTAATCCCAGTTCATAATAATGTTCAATTACATGATCCACCTGTTTTTTTTTTAAGCGTTCACCCTCGATTCATTTTCCTAAATTCTTTTTTGTACAAAGCAAAAATTTAATACTAATAATGCTTGTTCATATCTCGCTAAATATTTAATTTACAAGTGAAAAACATGCGCTAGGAGCTTAAATATAAAAGCAAACTTTTTAGGAGGCGCAGCTGTTTTGGCTTTTCTGTTAGCGTTCTCCTTTCAAATGCGCAGCAAATAGATCATAGAGCGTCTTAGATTCGACCCGACACATTCCATACTGATGACGTAACTCTAAGCAAACTAAATACATGTAATCACGTGACATCAAAGAACCAGGCATTGGCTCTCATCATGATAATAAGATATCATCCTAGGTAATTAACCTTTTGGAGTTATACCGTGATTTTCTCCTTATACAAAGTACAAACATGCCATAAATTTGGATCGATATGAATTCCAGGCTTGGAGAAGACGATTCAATGCCTTTTTGTTGCCGTTTATGCTAATCTTAATTCAAACTGACTTAGGTCATGCACTAGCATTGCCAAACTTCAACAACAAACAATGCTCACACTCTTAATCACAAAAAAATGTCGCAATCGTTCAGTCATTGCATATTTTTCCTGAGTAGCGAAGAGTGGTAATCAAATCTCTGGAAATTTCTCCAGCAACTTAATCTTTCGTAAAAAATCTCTTATTGATTGGAACGCTCAATAATTGTTTATTTTATATCATTTAGATTCCTTTACATTTTACGTGTTCCTCGGTTCAACGAGCTATGTACTTGCATTACTGGTGCATATGAATCATTTTGAATAGTTGCTGATGTAACTGTCACACTCAAGACTCGTAGAATGAAACCGTATTGGAACCACACACGACACAATCTCCTAGCAAAGCTCACTCGGCACGCCTTTAAATAATTACAAGCTGCTCTGTTCAATTCACACTCTGGAAGCAAATGCAGTCTACATTGTTTGAAAACATTCCTCTTTTATAAAGAGCTTTTTTCTCCTGACCATCAGGTAGTGATTAAGGAATCCGTTTTGGATCTCGCTCAGTGATCAAAGGGCCACCTCTTTCGTTTCCATGGTGTTTAGCAACACTCAGCACATAACACTGACTCAAACTGGAGAGCACCCTTAAACTTTCTCATCGTGTGCTGAGACATAAATGCGAGGTTTCGCGGTTGGCTGAGCGCTGTGTTTTGGCGAATTCCCGCAGCTGGATGAAGCAGACTCAGGTTTAAATGAGCCACTGTAGCGAGAGTTCCAGCGGTACAAGAAAAAGATTGTCACTAGAATGGCAATGGCTGCTATAACCACCAACACGGAGATGATCCAAAATGGCACCACCTGCGGTAATGAGCGCTGGGCCTGGACTCCAGTGGGCATGGGGCCTGGGTCAGTGGAGAGGCGAGTTGCTGACGTCATCACGCCTTCTTTTGAAAAAGCAAAGAAAAAATTATAGATTTTAAATAGGCATTTTTAAACATTTGAAACATGAGAGGTACAGGGTTGGGTTTTGTTACTGACTTTCTGGTACAGTTTAGGCGTAAACGACCTAAACGTAAATGGTCGTAAGGGTGTAATTTCATTAAAGTTATCAGTCGACTGACAAACACTGTTCACTTAACTCTGAAGATGACTTCCACTCAGGTTGTCGAAACGTCGTGCAGTCACCAACAACAATTCTTTTCAGAACCACCCTCACCGGAAAAATCACACTATACAAACTACTGACACTCCTGGGTTCAAACCAATTACTCCGCTGCAATTAAGGGAATGTAATTTAGCGCATCTTCACGTACACTAACATAAAACGCAGCTTCGGTGGGATAATAACTCAGTTTGTGTTAGACTATGAGTAGTCCCTCTTTCGCTTAGTCCGTTGAGCAATACCGTAAAACCGCGAGGAAAAAAAGACCGCTCGCTCAAGATTTCGCCTTCATGATTAAGCGCGGCCATTTTTCTCGCGGTGTTTTTTCTTGTCACTCCCAACGGACTAAGCAAAAGAGGAACTACCCATAGTCTAGTGAACCTTCGAAGACAAAAATTTCATTTATACGAGGACAGAATTACAATGTGACCAACCGATTAACGCGGGCTTTTTAGAACCAATTTTTCTTCAATTTTAATCAGACCAATCATTAACTTTATCGAACTTTGAGGGCCCTCCTCTTGTCATACCTGAAGGGGCATTAGTAGCTGTGCCCCTGCAATCCTCATCCTCGTCGTCCCCGACCGGGAAGCACCCTGAAGCGCTGCCGTCAAGTATGATAGTTCCATCAATCACAATTCCAACTTTTACAAATCGTCTATCCGTAATCGTAGGCACGATGCTGTCAAAGACCTTCGTGTGCCTAAAGTAAAACTCTTGTAGATATCCACTAAAGTTCTGTTTCGATTCGGATTTTCTGAAAGCGTTCCTTGGGCCCCCAGCCAAGTACACTTTGGGCTCCAGGCCCAATTTAAGCTGAGAGGATTTCCCGGGCATCTCTCCACCGGCCTGGGGACGATGATCTATCTTTAAAGCGACTTTACGACGCCGCCTGCTAAACTCGACCCAGTGCCACTTGTCGTCATTGACTTTCACTCCTTTTCCCGCCAAAACCAGCTGACCTATAATGAGAGCACATAAATGTAAGGTTTTCCTCCAAGACCTGGAGCGAAACCCCTGCGTTCAGATTTATTTTAAAGAGGATATTAAAGAGAATACTAAATAATTCCTAGGTGATGTTATTTATCCTTTAATTAGCAATCCACGTGATGGAAAGCGTTTTCACAAACATTTGTATCAGTGTCTGAGTTGGGCCAATACAAATGGCAATTTTTTGGTTTCTTCTCAATTGGAACTACTCTTGATAAGACCAAGGGCGTAACTGTTCAAAGGATAGAAATCGCTTTTGATATTCATCACGACCCAAAGAAGACACAAAAAGAGAGATAAGTACAAGCTCCTTTCTTTTCCCCATCCTGTTCAAACTAACGTCCTCGTGCACGAGAGAGGGGGAAGGGAGAATTCATGTACTCAGTAGACTAGGCTCCGTAATTTTTAAAGACTTCTTAATTACCTTCTCCCAGATCTAATTCCACTCTTATTTTGCCATCAGTCATCTCGATCAGCAGAGAGTCATTTCCATATGGTGACTGAAGGCTGAATATAATACCACCCGAATTCTCTGTCTTCAAGTGAAACGCAACGTAACTGTAGTTTGAATAGAAATTTTCCTCCGCCGGGTTCACGTGGAAAACGATATAGCCACTTCCGTTCAGCCAAATTGAAGATGTTTCTGTGGAAATAAAGAAAAGAGGACTTAGCACGATTGAGATGTAAATCCTGTTTAATTTCTCCATACAACATCAATACATTAGTCATGAAAATAGTTAATAAGAAAAGAGAAAATTACCAACTACAATGGGGAGGAATGGCGCAGTGGTGAGAGCGCTCCCCTCCCACCAATGTGGACCGGGTTTGATTCCGGCCCGCTGCCTTTCAGTAAAATCCCCCGTACAAGAACCTAGGTTTTTAAAGTTAACCTTCGTATGTCCTTTTATAAATGGTGTTTACTGTGAGATTATGCTACCTAGGTTCTTAATCAGGTTCTTAATTTCTGTTTTAAAAAAAACAGCTTGCACTCATGGATGTGGTCTTTATATTACAGTATTGTGGTTTTATAAAAATGTCTTATAACACTGTTTTTGTTACTTTTTGTATCGCATGTGATGAAAAACATACATTTTTAAATTAAGAAGCTGTATTGAGATTTTAGCCTAGAACGTTTTTTATGTGAAGGGTGCTTAACAGCATGGGAAATTTTAGCCGAACAGGTTCTTAAATTTTAGGTTCTTATCGCGGGTTTTTACCATATGTGGGTTGAGTTTGTTGTTGGTTCTCTCCTTGCTCCGAGCGTTTTTCTCCGGGTTCTCTGGTTTTCCTTCCTCCACAAAAACCAACATCTCCAAATTCCAAACCGACCAAGATAGAGGACCCGCCTGAAACTGAACCGTCTAAGGCTGATGTGGCCTTCCTCTCTTTTCGTCCTGTTTTGGCGATGTTTTTGTCGACCATGTATGTGTACGTTTTGTATACGAACACTTCAGTTTGAATGAAAACCATGCAACTCAATTTGAGGTCCATTCTTTTTAATGTTGGTTCTAAGAATTTAAAGGTGCATAAAGACAATATCCCGTAGTTGATGATTTTTAATATTCTCACCACATATGAATGACAATGTAGGGAGATCTTAGCTGCTGATCACTATTGAATCGTGTCCTGTTTTATATTCTGTAACTTTATTGCAATATTTTTTTCCCGCTTGGCCCAGCCACTTAGCTCGATTAGCCTTAGCTATTTCTAAGTGGCTGTGCTCAGTTTTTCATTGTTATTTTTTCACATTGCATGTATTTATTTTTATTGTAAAATTTTTCTGGGCACGAAATA